GGGGGGGGGGGGGGGGGGGGGGGGGGGGGGGGGCCGGCCCAGGTGTCCCCTGCCACTCCAGAGTGTGGGGAGGCCTTCCCCCCTTCTGCCGGCCGACCTTGTCTGAATAAGCCACACTCCTGCAAGCTCCTCATGGCTGCAAAGGGGGAGGAGACACAGACACCCATTTCCCTGCACCCCCCCCCCAGAGAACTGGGGGGACGCGGCTCTACGGAGAGCACCTCCTTGCAGGCAGAACGCCCCGGCTCCGTCTCCAGCAGCAGCGCCTGGCGAGGCTGGGAAAGCCGTGCCTTGAAATTCCGGAATGCTGATGGGAACAGTTCCGGGCTGGCTGGACCCTGCCCAGGATCTGGTCTGGGGAAAAGCAGCCTTCGAAATGGCAGCTGGGGGAGGCCAAGTCGGGGGGGGGGGCGGCATAAGCACCCCTCTCTATTAAGGTTTCCGAACACACCACTCAGCCTGCTTGGAAGATAAAAACTGGCAGACCGGAGGTGCAACGGCAGAACTCGCACGCAAAGTGTCGCTCGTCTCCCCAATTCACTCGTCTCTCGCCCTCCGGTCACGAGCCACCCCAGAACCTTCCTGGACATGAGGAATTTTCCGGGTCCGCGCCCACGGGTACCGAGGAGGAAGAACCGGGCGCACCTGGGGGGGGATTCCGCCCTGAAGTAATCCTCAATCAGCTCCTCCTCGCTGAAAAGGCTGCTGAAGCGAACCGAGCGCCGGACCTCTGGCGTGGTGCCCGCCGGCTCCTGCGGAGAGAAGGCGTGTTCAAGCGCGGGGTCTGCAGGCCGGCCGCATCCCCAGGCCCTGGACCCTGCGCAGGGTGCCTGCACCAGCAGCCTTCCACGTGCGGGAAGGCGCCTGCCCAGCTGCTTCCCCGGGCCGGGACCTCTGGGGACACGGAGCCGCGACAGCGATGCTCTCCTCCAGGCGGGCTCCAGCGGGGCCGCGGTCCACCGGGAAAGCGCCGGCAGCTTCCCATCTAGGGACTCCGTAGAGCCACCGTTGCTCTGGGAAGCCATGCGCCTGGCTAAAAGGTGCCAAGGGGGCAGTCCGAGGAGGGGCAGAGGGCGCCCAGACAGCCCCCCTGAGCCTGGTGGTGGCAGCCCAAGCGAGTGCTTGCCTGATTGCTTGATTGCCTGCTTGATTTAGAGTTTTTGTATGCCGTCCCATGGCTTACATAAAATAAACAAACAAAATTCAAATAGTACACATAAAATCCAGATTCACCCTGGCTGCACATTAAAACCTATAGATGATTTTAAAAGTTGTTAAAACAGCGTTTAAATAAAAAGGTCTTAGGCTGGCGCTGAAAAACAAATAACGACAGCGCCAGGCGGACCTCCCTGGGGAGCGCGTTCCACAGTCGGGGCGCCACTGCCCTCCCCTGGGTACTGTGCCTCCTGATGGCTCTCTCGGAGGGCTCCCGGAGGAGGGCCTCTGCTGCCGATCTCAGGGGGCGGGGGGGCACATACGGAAATATTTCTCTCCCTTGCCTTCCGCAACTGGACTGGTGCAGGGCAGGTCCCGGCCGTCAAATGCAGCAGGGACCCAACGCAGGCGCTGGCCGAGGGGGGCCGCCTGGAGCTCCCTCCGCGATTCTGCTCCGTCTTGACAACTTTCCAAAGGTGAGCCGCCACAGGAAGCCCGAACCACAGGTGACCTTTGCCCGAGAAAAGGAGGGGGCCAGTGGGTCGCCCCCCTCGTGGCAAGCCCCTTAGGGTCTCTGGAGGGACCCCTCCCGCTTCCCCACTCTTTTGCACGACTCTAAATCCCAGAGGGTGGGAAAGCGTGAGCTGCCCTTCTGCAGGAGCTCAGAGGCCGGGTCTCCTTCGGGGCAAGGGTGCCGAGCAGGACTCTGCGGCTCCTGCTTTTTCCCACCGGGACAAAATTCTTCACAGCGGTTGCTCAGTCTTCCCCCAAACTGGGGCCCTCCAGACGTGTTGGACTACAACCCCCATCATCCAAGGCACGGCCCGGAAGTGATGGGCAGTCCGACACATCTGGAGTGCCCCAGGCCTGGCGAGGCGTTCTCAGACGAGCAATGCGTCGCGTTTCGATCGATCATCCGACCAACTGAGGCCGCGTACCTCGCTGCGCCGACCGATGAAGCCCTCGCTCTGAAGGGGGGACGCCATTTGTGGGGTGCAGCTTCCGTTACGCTACGCAGGGTTGTCACAGCAGGCACATCCCCAAAGAGGCATTTCCCCCGTGGGAAGGAAAGCGAAGGCTGCTCCTCTGCAGCGCCCCAGCCGGGCAGCCGTGCCTTCAGAAGCGCGGGTGCCAAAAACACGGAACGGCTCTGCAAAGCCTTCCCACCCAGGGCGGTGGGGGAGGCACCTTGGCCTAGCAATGCACGCGTTTCCGCTGAATCTGCCGCTGGCTCAAGGTTGCAGCCTTGCCAAACTGCCACAGGCAACGCACGCAAGCCGGCAGGAACGGCGGCAAAACTCCCCTCCGGCCCGGCGTGCAGGCCAGGGCAGGGCGTTCCGGAGGGTCCCGACGCAGCTGGAGCCCCCTCCGGGCGGCAGAGCCCTGGCTCCCCCCACGTCTCGCAGGCACCGCCAACAGGAAGCTGCTCCGAAACAGACCCCACTATTTATAGCCGTAGGAACCACCGAGCGGAGCGCTTTCTGAGAACCCAGCCGCTCATTTCCCCTTCAGCCACGCCAGCACGGCGAGAGGAGACCGCTCGCTCGCTCGCTCGTCGCTCACGGGGGCTGGGCTGGCGCAGAGCGACCCGAATGCAGCCGGGCGATCCACGGCCTCTTCAGGGTCGCTGGAGGGAGGGCCGGGGGCAGGAGGAGATGCCCAGAGCTCTGGGGACGCTTCGTCCCAGTTCTAGAAGGTTCGGCAACAGGGCAGACTTTCAAAGGGGAACTGGGCAAGCCAGAGGCCACGAGCTCAGACCGCACGGGCGGGAAGGGGCGGTCGCACCCCCGTCTTGCCCGCGGCACCCCGCGTGAACACAATGCCACAGCGGATGGGCCCTGATGCTGCCATGCACTTAACCCGCAACCCGAGCCCACGGGGCTCCCCCAGAGGGGCACCCCCCTCCCCATCTCTTCTTCGCACCTCAAAGGGATGTGGGGAACCTAAGAATGACGGAAGCGGAAGCTGCCTTATCCGAAGACCCATCCGGCCTGGCACTGCCAACCCTGACCGGCAGCCACGGCGCTCCAGGCTCCCCGGCAGCGCTCCTTCTGGCCCCGCTGGGACGCTGCTGGGATCACCGCGGGACCCCCGCACGCGAGGCAGGAGCTCCGTCGCTGCGCTGGCGGCCTCTCCACAGAGGGCCAGTGAATGGAGGCTGGCTGGCCGCAGGCGGAGGCGCTTTCTCCCGCCCCCCCGCCGGGAAATGCCATGCTGGGACGGGACGGGACGGGACGGCAGTTCGGGCCACTGGCCAAGAGGCAGGCGCTGGAGGCGCAGCCCCGAATTGAACTGAATCACACCGAAGCAGGTTCCAGGCGAAGGGAAAGCGCCTCTGTGGACACGGGACCCCGGTGTGACCCCATTCCCCCTCCGCATTTCAGGCACCGAGTTGGGATGCGACTGATCTTTCAGCATCACATCAACCGGCGGTGTCCTTCACTCTCCCGTTCGGCGTCCCGCAGGGCGAAAGGGCTCCCCGCCGGCCAGCAAGACGTGCGCTGAGGCGTCCCACCTGTTGGAACGCATCGGGCGTCCCAACCTGCTCCCCTGCCGCTGGGTCGGATTACAACTCACAGCATCCCCAGCCAGCACAGCCAGAGTTGTGGGACAGGCCAGGATAACCAAGCACTCTGTCCAAACCGTGCCTGGGGACGACACACCAAGCCTGTGCTCCCCTCGGCACAGGGGGGCAACGGCAGCACCTGCCTCCCCAGCCGAGGCCGCGGGGGCACCCGGAACCCACCTGGTCACTCATCTCTCCGGCAGGAGACGCTATCCTCTCATCGGGCGGGACATCCTCGTAATCCGAATCGTCTGCAGGGACACAAGGAACAGGGCCGGGAATCACCATGAGCAGCCAAGGGTGGCTGGCGCTGCGCCGAGGCGTGGGTGCGCCGAGGCCAGGGTCCGATCCCCGGGCGGCAGCGGCCTCCCAAGGCGGCAGGGGCCCCCCCGGCTCTGCACCCCAGCAGTGCACAGAGCCACCTGGCCGCCTCCATGGCCGAGCGAGAGCCAGACCCTGGGCCTGACTCCCAGTCCCTCGCCCGCCCCCCGCTCCCCACCGCAGCCCGGTTTCTTTATCACCTAGTCTCCGAAGCTCCCTGCGTGTACAATTAATAAAATCAATAAAAGACAATGTAAATAATAGAGAACAGTAAAACAACATAAAATGCCATTTTTAAATGCATTCAATCCCCCCGGGAGCCAAGCGCAAGGCCCCTGCTAGGATCACACTGGTCCCTGAAGTTTCTATAAACTCTTACATCGAAAAAGAATTAACATTCGTCTTTGTTGCATTGTCCAATCAAGGCAATGTCTTTTTAACCAAAATGCTTTTGGTAACAGTGAGCCCAGCCTCTCCCGCACTGGCCCCCTCCAGAGGTTTTAGATGGCAGCTCTCATCCTTCCCAGCCAGGACACTGGTCCTCGCTGCATTCCGCTTTCTCCACTGGGAACCCAGCGGGGGGGGGGTCCCCTGCGAGAGCACAGGGTCCCAGAGTGGTCGAGCTGTAAGGGGCCAGGGAGGCTGTTGGGGCAACCGTCCCACTCGGGGGGCCGCCCGGTTCTTTCTCAATGTCCCCCATGTGGGAGAGAGGAGGACAGAGCCATGGGGGGCTCCCGCTGTGTGGGATGGGAACCCACGTCTGCCTTGGAGACCTGTGGGCGCGCCGGGCACGCTCTCTCCCTGGAGGACGGGCCAGAGGAGTGGCTGGGGGCTGCCAGGGCTCACAAGCCCCCCTCCTCATACCCTGCGAACAAATGGCACCACCGAGCGGAGCTTGGAAGGGAACGCTGAAGCTTTGGGAAGGGAACGCAAGCGCTTTGGGGCCCAGAAAGTCTCCTCTTCAGTCCCTCCAGTTCCCGGAAGGGGAACAGCAGGGAAAGCAAAGCTCTCCATAGCAATGTCTGGCTGCCAAGGCGGCACCAGCATGAGAGGTGCGGCTTCTGGGACCAAGGGTGGGCCTCCTGGAAGACGGGCCGCTGGCGAGGGACAGGCTGCCCCTGGGGGAAGTGCTTGGCCACAGCCCCGGAACTCTTCAGGAGGGGTTTAAGCAGAATCCCACAGAGAAAGGAGACGCGCACCCAGGCGCAGCCACGGGCAAAGGTTATGCACCACATTGGGGGAGCAGCTCCACGCAACCGAAAGCCGGAGCAGGAACATCTGCATGCTAACACCCAAACTGTGGGAATCCAGAATCCAGACTTGGAGGGAGGATGCCCTGGAATTCAACAAGTGAACAACCTGCTCGAGAACGGAAGGAATGGAAAGGGAGGTGGAAAGATACACATCTCTGCCCAGAAATGCAGGGGGCTGCGCTTAGCAGCCCCATGAGAGCGCCTGGATTAAAATGGATGGAGCGAAGAGGAAGAGAGGCATGGTGGTTGGGGCCTGGGACCGACCCCCCAGCCAAGGAGAAGCGATCAGTCGGTGTTTCAAGGAGACACAGTGCAGGGTAAGCCAAGGGTGCAATTTCCTTGACATTTGCCAGGAGACAAATTCAGTCAAACCCTTGATCCTAAAGGGAGCAGAAGCCAAGAGCAGAGACACGCTGGATTTTGGGAAAGCCCACTTTAATAAAAGCAGAACAAGGATGAGCGAAGTCCCATGGCAAGCGACTCTCATGAATTCAAGAGGGGCGGGAGTCTTTTAAAAAGGAGATTCCAAAGGCACAATTACCACAAGGAAAAGTGGGGGGGGAGAGACAACAGAAGCCCATGTGGCCACATTAAAAGCTTAGAGAGAGTCTGATAACAAAAAGGGCATGTATGAGGAGGAGGAGGAGGAGGAGGAGGAGGAGGAGACCAGGCTACAAAGGGGGGGGGGGGGGAGGGGGAGCACAGTACTGCAGGGATGGCGTCAAAACACAGGGTAGGTACAATTTTTTAATTAAAATGCATCTTTAATTTGAATATTTTTTTTAATGTAAAGGGTCACTCCCATTTTCCTGCTTGACCGCCCTCCTTACACTTGGCTTCGTCTGCAGAGCTATTCCACTCCCAAGAACCTTTTTCTACTCACTGCAGTTTTTGAAGCTTAGCACTTAAGAGGTGAGGGGTTGGTTCTGTGTGCACAGATGTGCAAGGGAACAACTGGATTAATGTCTATTTTTCAATTCTGTATGTTTCTCTTATAACATCTTTGCCGTGAAGAAGAGGCCTGTAATCTCTGCAGACACACACAGTTTTGAAAACTGTAAAAACAGGCATCTGTGATAGTATCTTCTAGATAGAAAAATAGCCCAGTAATCTTACAGAAGCTTCTGGAAGAGCATGACATACAGAATGGATTAATGGAATTTGTTTACCAAAAAATGTAAACATTGCACGAAGATACAGCCCCATGCCACATAATTAAAACTAATCCTTATTTCATGATGAATAACCTTTAGACTACAATGTATCTTAAAATAGGAAACTATTTTAGATACTTTTTTCTCAAAAAACATTTTAAAAAATCCAATTTAAATCTTAAAAATCAATTATTTTTTTCAATCACTATCTTTTATCAATTTTGGGAATATTTTAATGACGTTCTACCGATGGGCAAGGCAGGCAGGCATGCAAATCATGTAGAAAAGCTTGATTTAAATTCAGTCTTATAGACTAGTGATTTATATCGTAATTTAAATTGATTTGATTTAAATCAAATCCACCCTATCAGGAAGGCTAACACTAGGAAAGAATAGGGGCCAGTGAGAGATGGCGAACAGCAGCAAAAAAGCCTTCTTCAGATATGCCTAAATTCAAAGGCAGAGGAAAGATATGGGGGCTCGGCGGCTCGGCGTGCGTGCAAAACGCCAGCAGACGACAGGGAAGAGGCGGGAGTGCTCAGCCCCCGCCGTGGCTCCATCTTCTCCCCAAAGAAGGACCACAAGCTTCCCGACGAAGGGCAAGGACAACCGGCGGGCGCGACGGCAGCCCAAGACTGGCGGGCAAAGCGCCAAGGATCGCCTCACTGGGCTGCGTGAGCCCCAATCCCGAGGGCCCCGAGGGACATCGTTCATCTCAGGGTCACGAAGGAGCCGGCGGAAGTCTTGGCGACGGACGGGGACGCGCCGGAGGGCGAGAGAGGGGCTCATCACAGAGTCACGGAGTGCTGGTGTTGCAAGGGGCCCGGGGCCTCCGGGTCCGACCCCCAGCTGAGCACAGGACCCCCAGCTGAGCCTTCCCTCTCGGAGGGCTGTCCCGCTGGCGACCTTGTCCCTGTCTTCAGGAAAGGAAGAAGGCGATCCTGGGGAAAACAGGCCAGTCGGTCTGACAACAACTCTTGGGTAATTTCTGAAGCAGAACAAAAAGTAGTCAATGTGGAAACTCAGTAATAGTGGGCTAAATGGAACCACGATCCGGTGGATCCTCACTTGGCCGCGGAGTCAGAGCCGCACGTGCTCGTCAAGGGCACCTTCTCAGACTGGGGGAGGTCACCAGTGGGGCCCCGCAGGGCTTTCATCAATGGTTTTGATGAGTAGTGCACAGAACAATCATCAAAGCTGCAGATGATGCAAAACTGGGTGGGAAAGCTGATGCCCCGGACAACACAAACAAAATCAAGTGCTCTTGGCAGGTCGGAGCACCGGGCTGAAAGCAACAGAATGAAATTCAGGAGGGACAAATGCCAGATCTGCACCCAGGAAAAAGAGACCAGATGCATTCTAACAAGATGGGGGCTATTTGGCTCAACGATACTTGCAGGATCTCGGAGTTGTTGCAGATCACAAGCTGACTAGGAGCCAGCAAGGTGATGCGGCTGCAGAAAGGGCAAATGCTCTTTAGGCTGCATGAACAGAGGCATCACTTCCAAATCCCGTGAAGTGGCAGCTCCCCTCGACTAGGCACTGGCGAGGCCTCCCCTGGGCACTGCGTGCAGCTTATTTTATTTTATTTATTTAAAGTTTTTATATGCCGTCCCCTTGCTACATAGCCTCGAGACGGCTCACAAAAGTAACAAATAAAACTGGGCACGAGCGTTTAAGAAAGATGCGGACCAGCTGGAAGGGGTTCAGAGGAGGGCAACAAGGACTGCAGACAAAGCCCTCTGAGGAGAGATGGCGAGAACTGGGCCTGTTCAGCCTGGAGAACAGTAGACTGAGGGGAAAGGCTCAGTCTGCTCTTGAAAGGCTGCCCCAAAGACGAGGGCCAGGATCCCTTCTCTGTCATCCCAGAGCGCAGGACACGGAATAACGGGCTCACGTGGCAGGAAGGCCAGGTTCTGGCGAGGTATCAGGAGAAATGTCCTGGCTGTCTGAGCAGTACAAGCTAGGGAAGCGGTGCGCTCTCCCACACTGGAGGCGTTCAAGATGCAGCTGGACAGCCAGTGGCTAGGAGTGCTTGAACCCAGAGCCCGGCATCAAGCAGTGGGTTGGACCGGATGGCCAGGCTGACCCCTTCCAGCTCTGCGATCCCATACAGTCCAACTCTCATGTTCCACTTTCAAAAGCTGGACAAGGAAACTGGAGACGGCGGCAGATTTCCAGCACTCGCCACAACCGCTGCCGCTCTACTCCCCCCCCCACGGCCCTGAAAGTGCGGACACTCACCGAACTGCGGCTGGGCGAGCAGCGGGGGCTTGCTGTGCGGCTCCGGCAGCTTCAGGCGGGGAAGGAGGGCGGGCGGCGCGGCGGGCGGCTCCTCCGGGTCGCGGGCCTCGTCCTTCGCAGGAGAACTGCAAGGGGAAGCAGAGGTCACCTCTGGAGACCACGTCTCCTGCCCTGACTGAGCCTCACCTGCCCTCACCCAGGCGAGACCCACAGCGAGCCCGACCGGCAGGAGCACCAGACGCAGCCGCAGCGTCAGCGGCCATGCCCAGCTGCAGCCCTTCCAGCTGCTTCCAGCCTCCAATTTGCCCACTTGGCATCCAAGGCAAAGGGGAGACTGCAGCCACCGTCCCAAACAGCCAGCCGTCACGATGACCACTCCGGTTTCTAGGCCTCTGGAGGCAACCCAGCCGCCAGCCTCTCTTTGCAGTACAGACTTTAATTCAGCCTTCTCCCAGCTCCAGGTATTTGGAGCTACATGCCCTACCATCCCCAGCTAGCCCACACTATTGGATGGATGGGAATTGCAGTCCAGCACAGCTGGAGAGCACCAGTGGAAGAAGGCCGTGGCCCTCCAGCAAGATGCGGTTCTTGGTTCTCTTTCCTCTTCCTTCCGCATCCGCTTTCCCTCACGTGCTGCGTCTTTTAGACTGACCCTCATTCCCTCATTTTTACGGATTATATGGTAGCACCCCGGAGCTGTTGAGGTAAGGCACTGGGTAAAAATACCTCAGTGAAGCAGGCTCTGGCCTCAGCAGGCCCGTCTCACTCCAGCTGCCCCTTCATGGATCAGAGCAAATGTCACCCTTCGGGAGCACAGAACGGCGGGGGAAATGGCACAGGGCCCCCGGCCCAGCAGCAGCAGCTCCCCAAGTCCTGGCCCAAGAAGGACGGAGCCCAGGCCCAGCACCGGGCCACGGCCGTGTGCCGCCGATGCCCACCCCTGCCCCCACCGCCACTCGCGGTCCCCAGCAGCGGCGCTGGTCCGGTTTAGCCCGAGAACAGAACAGGCTTCGGCCTCCTCCTTCACCGCTGCTTCCCCCTCACTGCCCTCCACTCTCCATGCGCGAAGCGGGCTGATGTGCTTATGCTCCAGGCGCAATGGCGGAACACCCCGGGAGCAAAGAAACCCCACTGCAGTTCTCTTTCCCATTTGGTCTAAAGCCGCTCCTTGCGAAGGGAGCAGTCCAGCTCCAGAGGGTCCCCAAGGCCGGAGTCCAAAGCAGAGCGGCATGAGCTCAAGAAGGGCTACCAAACCGGCCCAAATCCTAGGCGCACGTGTGCGCGAGCACAGCCCTCCAGCATGCATCCCCCCGGCCCAAATTTTGGAAATGGTAGACTCCAGTGTTAATTTGAACCATGGCACAGTCTTGGGACCGGTTTTGAAACAGACAGGCCAAGCGTCTCCGAAAATGCTGGGTGCATTTTCTGCAGCTCAGAATGATCAGTCAGCCAAGTCTCCAGATAACAGGAGATAAAAGGCTGTGATCTGATTGTCCCTGTGAACAGAGCTGAGCAGAGCAGAGCAGAATAAAACAGAGAAACAGCACGAGCCAGAAGGGGCCTCCCGGGCCATCTAGTCTGACCCCTGGCTGCAGCCGGCTCCGCTCACAACATGCCCACCATGTGCACGGCCAGCCTGCCCTTGAACACCCGCACCGATGGGGCCTCAGCCACCCCCCGTGGAATCCAGAAGGGGCATGTAAGGCCATCAAGTCCAAGCCCTGCCCCATTTCCACATGAGATCACCCCTCCGGCTGTGGGCCCACACCGCTGCAGCTTAGCAAAGGGACTTGGCATGCTCACTTGGGGAACAGTCAAGAGGCAGGCAAGGGGTGCATCCAAAATGAGAAGCCACAGCTCTGGCCGCCGAGACATCACTGATCCCTGCATCACCTTTCAGGAGAAACCGGGAGGCCCAGCTGGGAAATGCGCCTGCACAGCCACACGGGCGCAGCAGCGCTTCCACATCCTCCCCAGGAGAGGGGTGGAGAAGCCACGCTGCCCCTCCACTCGCCCCATGGCTTCCTGGCACTTCCTTCTTCTAACATTCTTCCCCATAAAGTGCCCAGAGGGCTCCAGCAACAGGACAATACAGACATTAAACAAATAGGCAGAAGCCCCTCCAGGTTTCCTCCTCTGGCAATATGAGCTTTCCGCTAAAGGACGCAGCTACAGGGGTATCCAGGCCAGAGCATGTCACCTCTGGCCTGGCCCAGCGCCGGAACGCGGGCCCGGCAACCTTGCCAAACTGGGGCTCGGCCTTCGGGTGACAGCGCTCCCGGCTGCTCTCATGCAGGGGAGGTGGCACCTTTTCAAGCGGACCGTGGAATGGCTTTGCGCCCGGGGATCAGGAGGGACACGGCACTGCTTCCCCCCATCCCGCCTGGCTGCCCCCCCGGACGGCAAACGCTGCCAAATGCAGCTGGAGACGGTGCGGCCCTTCAGAGCCACTGCACGAGGCCCCCTCTTCGCGGCCACTTTGCCACGGGCCGCGGTCAGCTTGGGAAGCCTTCCTGTTCCGGCCATCGCGGGACGGGGCGGCAGAGGGGCAGGAGTCGTGGCCGGAGAAGCGCAGCCGGATCTCGAGGCCCAGACAGCCGATCCCACGGTGGGGCAGATGCCCTGCCAAGCCGCGGCCGCTCAGAGGAACCCAGGCCTCCAAGCCACGGCTTCGGGGCAGCTGCCCACCCCCAGCATCTTTCTGGGACTCCAGTGCTGCAGAAGAAACCCCTTTCCGCGACCTCTGCCCTTTCGCACTGCATTTGCTCGCCTCCACATGACAAACTCGACCAGGCCGCGCGTCTTGCGACTGCCAAACTGCAGCAGCGTCTCCAGAACGGCCCTCAGCAGACAACCTGCTGCATACAGAAAGTGCAGACTTCAAAGAACCCCCGGGGCTCTCCTTCTCCACTTGCCCAAAACCTGCTTTTCCACTTCGGGCCACTCCACTGCCCGTGCCCCCCCCCCCCCCCCGCACAACAGGAAATCCAGAAGGAAGCAAAGGCAGAGCAGCTGGGACAAAAGGAACAATCACTTCCAAAAACACACATATAGCATATATGGCCGTGAAAACGGAATCTTGCTTTTCAATTATAGAAGGGTCCCGAAAGGTCTCCTGCCTCGATGTCTCTTGGAATCCAGAATCCGGACGTTTGGCAACAGCAAAGGGCTCTTTAAAGCAGGTCCCAGATGGCCGGAGTCCCGCCCTTTCCCGCTCCTTTCTAGGCTACAGCCCTGCCACGTCGCTCTGTTCTCGTATTTGTTCTTGGATGGCAGAGAAGGCCTCACCTGAACCCCCCGTTGTGTTCGTGGCACAGCAGGGTCTGCATTAAGGGCTCCCCCAACCCTAACCCTAACCCTGTCCCTCCGGCCCCAGTGGCCCCGGCGTTAATTCCTCTGCATGCCAGCTGGGATGCACACCCCAGGACAACCCGGTTGTGAAAAGCTGTTGCATGCACACTTCTCTCATGGCTTCCCAATACGAAGGGGGAGAGGAGGAGACAACCCTCCGCTGCGCTCGGAAATGCACGTTGGAATGAACCCTGCCGTGAACACACGGATTCCCAGACACAGCGAAGGCCAAATCAGCCCCAGCAGCCAAACAAACTCTGCTAGACATTCCTCACTCCCTGAACAGCCGATCGTTTCAAGCATACCAGAATCTGATCCATGCTGACTTCAGCACCTGGCCCATTAAACGACCAGCCGCGGTTTTGGCGCTGCAGTCAAAACATGCAGTGTTCTCGGTGCAGTGAGATGTGGGAAACTACAGCAGAGTCTCACCACAACCGCAAGGAGCGAGTGTGCAAAACAGACGGAGAACCCCAAGCGCTAAAGTGCCGCTCAGGGGCACATAAGGGCATCTAGAAGGGCTAGAAGACAAAGCAATTCTTCACTGCAGAGTCTCCAAAGTGAGGCCGATCCCTACATAATGCAAACAGCTTTACAAAAACGAAAGGAAAGGAGAGAGCAGGAAGGCTCCCAGGAACGTCTGGAATGTGCTGGGACGACCCATGGCCACATCCGAGCACCCAAACTGGACGAAAAGTGCCAACTCTGGCTGTTGCTCTCACTCCTTGGCGAAACATGGAACCGCGCCAAAAGCAAAGAGAGGGGAAAGGCACATGAGGCCCAGGAAGGAGCGCCCTGGAACGCCGCCACGGATCGGATCGGCTCCACGCGGCTGCACAGCTCCCAGGGCTGGGATCCGGCGCTTGGGGTCACCTTCAAGGCCAGAGCACAACTCCTGGCTGCGACTTCCCGGCGGGGCGGGGGAGCCGGATCCCAGAGGCTCGGCTCTCCAGCGTCTTTCGCATCAGCAGCTCCCTGGCCGGCGTCCGGCGAGGCTGGAGGGGCGGTGGGAGTGGCGGGCCCGAGCCGAAGGGGCGCAGCGCAGCCAGCCGGAGGCCCCCTTCTCCCCGGGCGGCGGCGGCGGCCTCATTCCTCAGCACTGGTCTCTATGGAGACAAGCCCTCAGCCGTCCCTACCTCACACAAAGGGCAGCGGCCCTGCTCCGCGCGCCGGCCGCCTCCTCTCCCCCCCCCCCCCGTGCCCAGGGCGGCGCCACGCCGATGCCCCGCGGGGCGGAGAGAGCTCCGCCAGCAACTGGCAACCCCTTCGTGACCGGCCGGGACATGCCCCGGGAAGGGAGGCGAGCATCCGCACGGGCGCCGTGAATGTGCCTGGGGCCCTCTCCGTTCCGCAGCGTTCAAATCTTCACTCCGGTTCATCTCCAGCTTAGGGAGGTTTTCCAGTCTTCAGTGCTGCAGGTTTTCACACGGAGATGAAAACCCACAACAGTTTCTGCACACACCTCTTCCAACGCTTGCGCTCGTTTCCCCGATGTAATGCAGGGGTAGGCGTTATTTTCTTTAGTACATGCATTTTTGACCGGAAAACCATAGCACAGATTCAGATGGGTGCGAGTTGCAAAGGGGTTGCAAGTCGGTTTCCGTTCGTACGGCGGTGCAACACTCGCCACATTCGCATTGACTTGGGGACTGAATGAATTCCCCTTAGGACCGAATCCGTAGGACTGGAATCCCGTTCCCACTGCGACACGCCAGCTGCCCCCCAGAAGGCGAGGTGTGGCTTCGTGCCACCACCTCGCACCACCTCTGGGGGG